GGGAAAGAGACACTTTTCTCCCTTTCTCACAATATAAGAACTTGTGGGCACTCCATGAAATTGCTGAGCGGTCGGGTTAGAATGGATAAGAGGAAGTACTTCTTCACCCAAAGAGTGATTCACACATGGAATTCACTGCCACAGGAAGGTGGCGGCTACAAGCATGGACGGCTTCAAAAGGGAATTAGATAAGCATATGGAGCAGAGGTCCATCAGTGGCTATTAGCCACAAGGTATAGATAGGGGCTCTGGGGCAAGTGATGCTCTGTCTTCTTGGTGCTTGGGGGGGTCAACAGTGGAGAGGGCTTCTAATGTCCTGGCCCCACTGGTGGACCTCCTGATGGCACTGGTATTTCTGGCCACTGTGTGATACAGAGTGTTGGACTGGATGGGCCTTTGGCCTGATCCAACATTGGCGTCTCTTATGTTCTTATGTTCTTATCCCAAGATTCATGTCAAAGTTACGATAACTGGGTCTGCACTGTTTACACACTCAAGGCACACAGCAACAGGAAAGCTACGAGGGAATGAGTCGGTTTCACGGGCACAGAGAAATTCAGTGACATAGATATATGGATGGCTCTGGCATAGGGTATATAGGCAACACAGACAAAACGAGATTTAACTGCAATTTCCCCTCCCGCAGAGATACCTGGGAACTGTAGTTCAGTAAGGAGTTGTAAGGGGGGTACTGCCACCAGAACTATGGTTCCCATGTGTCAGATCTCCCCCCAGCATCAGTGAAGTACACACTTGTAGAAAGGTTTTACTTTATTTGAAGCTAAAGGTGCGTAGACAGGATCACTGTTCAGAATGAGGGGTAAGCCATGAGCATAATAGGTTATAGTACATTCAAAAAGATGAGGCCCAATTGCGGGACTTCCCGCACGCGCCATTGGGCCTGGGAGCAAACGCTTCTAGATAATCATAACATATCTGCTTCTCACGATGCTCACCATGAGATCACCCAAGCAACTATCCGGCAGCATCCACCTGTGGCCTTGAGAGATATGGACGTTCCTGCAGCTAGTCAATTAAGCGCATCAACAGGCACACATGGGAAAGTGAAAGCACACAAGCGCATACCGAGAATAGCAAAGAAAAAAAAACCCTTTTGGCAGCTTGCTGACACCATGACAACACAAAGCAAACATGGCTGCTGCCATTACGGCTCTGTCCCGAGTGTCCATGTGTACTTACTGGTAGGGTTGCTAGCTCCAGGTTGGGAAATACCTGGAGGTTTTGGAGATGGGGCCTGAGGAGGGCAGAGTTTAGGGAGGACAGGGGCTTCAGTGGGGTGTAATGACATACAGTCCGCTTTCCAAAGCAACCATTTTCTCCATGCAGACTGATCTCTGTTGCCTGGAGGACAGTTGTAATAGCGGGAGATCTCCAGCCACCCCCTGGAGGCTGGCAACCCAAGAGGAAGGCCAATGGTTTCCACTTACACCTCGGCCAGAGAATGAA